GCCTTAATCTCTCACTCTCGAGAATATTGGAATTGTACACAGGAATCGAACCGAAGATGTTAAAAGTATATACCTCAGGTTGCAGAAGAGTTTCGAGACCATGTATGAGACCTCACTCCTTCATTGCGCCATAACGTTTTATTCATTAACCCATATCTGCCCACAGGGTCACGTACTGCATGCCGAATGGCACAGCATCCCTAAGGACCCTCTTCGTCGTACCTGTACGGCCGGGCGTGTGCCGTACCGTTGGTGTGTTTGCTTCGGGGCCGCCGCCCTCCCATCTGCAGCTTCAGCCACAAGACGCCGCCACAGACGTCTCGAACACTGTGTCAAAGACGGCGGCGGCGGCGGCGACGGAGGTCGTCAAGAAGACCGATCCGGAGGCGACATCGGGCGGGGAGAACAACGACAAGAACACGGCGAAGAAGAGCGGAGGGTCTTTTGCAGCCTGGCTGCTTTCCCTGATTGGAAAATTGCCGCATTGGGTGTTGCTCCCCGGCATCGTTATGGACCAAGACCTCATCATAATGAGCAGGTGGGTCAGCTTTCTCACACACAGACGGGGGTGAGGGACGGAACGGTCGCCACCGCAGACGGAAACAACGGAATTATGCATGTGCACGTGGCGTGACGACGAGGGAAAGTCGGTTTGATTATGTATGGTGTTTATTTGGGGTCACTGGTTTGGCAGCAGTCCCTGATATTTGAGGCACCCTCATCTTTCGATCAACGCCGGGCAAGCGCGATGCCTGAAATAATCATGTTGATGTTTTTATTACCACGACAAGAATGAACAGGTAAAATTCCTGCAAAATTGCCTTTTGTTATATTTTGACTAAGATTTATTTTTTAAAAATTATAATTTTTATAAATTATAATTTTGAGGAGCAAGATTTGCTAATAGTCTAAACGGAGCATAAACATCTAAATTAGATTTTGAATTAGTAAACTTCAAAACCAACATATTTCTGTAGTAGTCTGGAAAATGAACTTCGGCAGCTGCAGTTCCGGTTGCTCAGCACTTGCCCACTTAAACCATCAAGGGAACCAATTCCCGCCCGGGACTTCCGCAGGCAGGAGGTGCTGATGCGGCGCCACGGACTGGGAGCATTTGACTACAACCTCAACAGCAAGGCGGATGCGGGTGTGGCGGCCGTGAACGTGTGGCTGAAGCAGGCGGGCTATCCGGACAGCCTCTGGGGCAAGGGACCTGCACCTCAGTCGGGCCCTACGTTCAGCAGGTGGCCCGCGACAGAGCTCTCCCTGGAGCAGCTGCTGTCAAGACAGGATAGGCATGTACGACACTGTGCGGTCTGCCAGCGGGGAATGAAGCTGGTGACGGCAGTGTGTACGGCACTGACGGCGGCGGCGGGGATTGCCGCGGTGGCAGCAACCATGCTGACGGTTATGGCGGCAATCAGTCCTGCCGGCGTCGCCGCTGTTGGCGGTTGGGGTCCGTTAGCGGGTGCCGTAGTGGCGGTTGTGGTCCTGGCGGCGTTGGCGGTCCAGGGATGGTCGTTCCGCGAGGAGAGGTTTGTGTCAGGTGCCGCGCAGTGGCGCCGAATAGGCGGGTTGTCGGTGCTGGGCGCCCACCCGAAATGAGGCCAACTAGGTTTTCATCGCGCGCAAGCAATCGTGATCAGCAGTACGGAGTACGGAAGGTACGGAATCATCATCGATGGCGAAATGTACATTGCATTTGGGAGTACAGCAGAGTTTCAGTAAATACCTTTTCATTAGAATGTCAGTAAAGTATCACCCCATGATTTCATAATTATTTCTTACTGCCGCCTTGCATCCATGGCAAGGCGATCTTAATCGCGGTACCTCTCTCTCGCGACCCAACGGTAATGTGCGGCGAATCTGTACGGCTTAACCAGCAGGAAATCAAAACCAGGTGTGAGGCAGGAGTCGGTCGCGCCCAGTTGGTGGTTAAGCTTCGAAGGTGGTTAGCTCGCTTCACAAACAGCACGTGCTTGTGCCCGTCGCGATAAGGATGATGGCCATGTGGACGGTCATTATTGTTGCCTCGGCGGCTGGGATGTATGAATAGAATTTGGTGGCTGAGCGGTCGATCTCCCGGGGATCGCGGAATCCATTTTCCAGTGTATCAAATGATGATGTTGTACGATATGTATGTACGATATGCATGACTGCGGTGCGTACGGACATGGCTGTGCATGTTCCAGCGCGATGCATCCTCGGACTGGATCGAGTACCCCAGCTTCCCTCTATCGGGCTGCGAGTTGAGGCAACCAAGCGTCAGCCATTAACAAGATTGTTAAGGGAGAAAATGAAAGATTATGACGGCGTGTATTGTGGCTTGGGGCGAGCTTGCATGCTGTCTCTGCTCAAATCCTCCAGAAATTTGAATCTGGATCTGGACTTATCCGTTTGCATCGTTAGCTTGTTGGATCTAAGGTTGGACTGACCTGACATGAATTTGTAATCTGAAATTCCAAGGGGAGTTCAGAATTCTTGCTCACAATCTTGCTATGCGGGACAAGAAGAGCTCAGGAAGACCTGGACCGGACTCGCAGCGAAGGAAGGGTGAAGTAGTTTTTGCGGGTTAAGCTGAAAGGAAGCGTTCGTACATGAGGATGCGGACGCCGTATCCTTATGTATAGGTCTTCAGAGCTTCGGCGAGGTACATCGTTGAAGGAACGATTGAGTTCCGAAGTTAACTTCTTGTCAGTTTCAACTGCTTGAGACAGGTGTACCGTACAATCAACGCACAATACAATTCCTCGAAAGAAAAGATAAAAAAAGATGGGCGAACTGTACCCTTTGGATCTATCAGAAAGGACGGGCCTCGGTTTGGGCGCCCGGCACCGCGCCCTCGGCCTCATCGACATGAAAGCCATAATTCAACGAATGACGTTCCCATAGGTTTGTACGTGTGCTACAATGTCTAGGCTCTGTGTTAGTTGGATGAGTGTTAATTGGATAGCCCAACCCTGTCGCCCACAGCTCAGGATTTTGAGAACTATCAATCGGCGAAGAGCCTTCTGCACCAATACCGGTCAAAAATAAAACGAATGCTACTACATGCGTCGAAGCTGTATGCACACATACGCATACAACCAGAACAAAGAGATGTGGGTAGGTAAGGAGGCAAAGAGATCATAATCCATGCGTGCATAGGTCGTGACGTACCGCACGTGGGTCGTGAACGCATAACAGCGTCAAAATGACCCGTGGGTCAGTCACCCGGCCTGTGAATGATTGGTATGCGTTGATGTATGTGGTATGGCATAATGGCTGCCGAGCGCTGATCATTTACTGTAAGCTCCTGAACGCACAGGGCGTGTCACACGCTTCAACCTCCTTCCCCCAGAAACAACACACACATACACACCGCACCTACGCCTTTGCCTGGACAAGACTACAACTCTCCGAGCCCTAGCCTGAGCTAAGAAACCTACGCCCAGGCATTTGCTCTTGCAAGTCTGCAGACGAAGCATTTTACAAGGCAAATTACTGGCATCACAAGTGTCCCAAGCCAAGTGCCCGTCACGGCGAATATCAGGAAATGGTTGTGGGAATGAGGAGTCGTCACCGCCCGGCGCAAGGCGCCCTTGTTGGACGTCAAGTGCTGAAGCCGTCTCCGTCCTGGCTTTGCTACGGCAACAGTTATAGAAGTAGCAGCAGCAGCAGCGCTATGACCTCACTGCTGCGACTCCAGGGACGCCGCGTTGACGGAGCAGTGAAGCAGCGCCTCGGCAGCAGACAGTTCCTGGGGGACGTGTCCGCGGGTGCTGCGACTGGTGAGTTGCACCGAAACACCACGAAACCCGCGATACTAGAGATCCTAAACGAGAGCTACGCCGATGGGAGGAAGAGCCATTTGGCGCTTCCCAAGCCACTTTGAAGCCTCGTTGAATAACTTAGGGAAAACACTACGGCTTCTACGAATATGTGTGCTTTATGTGTGTTACACCTCGTTTGCATTACCCAGAGAGGTGTAGCGAGCCCAGCCGTACAAGCCAGCAGAGGCCCGGGAGCTTAGAAGCCACAAGCTAATAGATTAGGGGGATAGTACAACGCGAAAGGTATGGCGAGAATGCACCTGCGCCAGCATTTGTGCTCCAGTGCGGGAACTTTAGTTCAATGTGTCAAACTTTGGATATGGATGAAATGCGCAGGTCCTTAATGGTGTGTTTTGCAGTACACAGCAGTAGCGCAGTGGTTCATGCGTTGGGTTCGTTGCAGCAACGAAATCCCGGTTTGACTCACCAAACCCGTACAGCGTCACAGGCGCAGCGAAAACATTAGTTCTGTTGCATCAGAATATCAGCGGACAGACGGGTATCCCTAGCCAGTCGAGCTGTGCGCGGCCGCACGGCTGTGCGACCCGTAGATCTTGGTTAGGTGCGCGTCTCGACAGCAGCGACACGACGGCAGACACTTCACACAGCTCGTTGTCCACCTGCAGTCTGAGCCCCGTCCGGTAACGTGTGTACGACACACGCTCCAGGCGCTGACATCATAACAAGGGCCCTGCCTTATGAGCCCATGTAGACATTCAGGAAGCCCCTAGAGCCCCTGGACCCTGCGCCTGCCTGAGTCGACTCGTAACATTGTTCCCGTCCTTCTCCTCCGGGCCCAGAGAGCCCTATCAACCCCTGCGGCGTGCTCTCACCCGTACCTGTCGTTTTCTTGTTGAACTCGCTTGCTCGTACAACAGTTCCGTACAGGCTTCACACAGTACGTCAATATTCTTATAGCAGAGGGGTATTAGGGTTTCGATGGTATTCAGGTCAGGTGCGCCTTAAAGATAGGCTCTGTCATTGTCGCCCTGCCGTCTTGCCCTCTCCGGCCACCCTTCGATCCCCAACCTGACCATTGCTTTTTCCGAACCGGATCTCAGCCGCTCCCGACTACCTCCCGCTACCGCAGTGCCGCCGCCGCCGCCGCCGCCGTCGCCACCGTCGCCAACAGTTACCACTACCGGTTTAGCCGCAGCTCAGCAACAGAGCCCAAGTCCGACACAGGGGGCCCCTCCCGCTCTGGCCCCCAAGCCTGTCAGGCAGCCCTCCTCCCCCTCGTCCTCCTATCCCTGGCACTGCACTTGGGTGCCCTTGGCCCCGCTTTCCAGTCTTGACCCCAGTCGCCCGAACCCGGTGATGGTCCTGGGTGAGCAGCTGGTCGTGTGGCGCCACTCCCTCCGCGGCTGGGTGGTGCAGCGGGACGTGTGTCCGCACCGCCTGGCGCCGCTGTCGGAGGGCCGCTTGGAGGCAGCAGGCACTCGACTGGCCTGCGCGTATCACGGCTGGGAGTTCGACGAGGAGGGCAGCTGCACAAAGGTACCGCAGGTACGACACAGTACGGCACGGTACGGTACGGGACAGGAACGCTGTAGGGGTGTCTCATACCCACCCGGGTATTCAAAGCCTGCTGGATCAGGACATTGCAGGTGGAATTGTGGTTTCCATGGTTTCGGAGCATTGCATTTCGGGAGCGAAATCTCCCCAGCGCTGCCACACTGGTGGGTAGCCTTTTCCTCCCACCCGTGCTTTTTCCTTGCGTTACGTTGGAGGAGATAATCCTTTCCTGCCATGTATGTGCAAGTCCAATCGGTCCATTGTAACAACACGGGAAGGTGTGTTATCCTTGAAAACGTCTACGGACCTGATAGCTAGCAGCAAAGCCCCCCGAGCTGCCATGACCACCTGCAAACAGCTGTCCTGCTCTTTATCCCACGTCCTCGCCACCCCTGCCACCCCTGCCATCCCTCCATCCCTCCATCCCTCCATCCCTCCATCCCTCCACTCCTCCACCAGCTTTCTTCCGACCCCCGGGCTGCCGCCACCGCCCGCTCCAGCCCTCGCTCCTGCGTCACCTCCTACCCCACCCTGGAGCTGGATGGACTCCTGCTCGTGTGGATGGACGACAGCAAGGAGGGAAGGCAGCAGGCGAAGATAACGCCGAAACCCAAGCTGTACGACGAACAGGCCCCAACGGCCGTCGATTGGGTCATGAATGAGATGCCTTCTGATTACACGTGAGACAGGATGACGTCCTGCGGATGGGTTTTACTACTTGCATCAGGCGCATGGCTCGCATCACGCACAATGATGCATCACGCACGTCGTTCGCATGCGTAGATAGGAGAGTCGGCTATGGTGCGTCATCAAAAGTAAAACCATTGACGAAGGGCGAGTAAGCAGGTCCGGCGCGTGCAAGTTTGGCACGAAACACACCGTAATCCCCTCTCTCCCCCCCTTTCCCCCTAACAGGTTTTGGATGGAGCAGGCCATGGACCCCTCTCACGCCAGCTTCTTGCACCAAGGCTGTGAGTGCACGGCGCTGCGTAGAGTCCTAAATCGGTATCGGCAACATCGGTCTGTTGGCGACACCACATTCCGCAACGAAGCATGGATGAGCGCGAGCGGTAGCTCTTAGCAGCCATCTGCAGGTCATCGTGAAGCTTTTTGCCGTGTAGCTTTTCAAGCCGAAACCTTGCTGCACGTAACACCGGACCGCTTTACCACATCTTCCTTGTTGCCGTAGCGAGAAACCGTGGAAAAAATGTGGGAGAGAGAGGAAAGAAGGTTTAATTTGGGGGGGAGAGAGAGAGAGGAAAGAAGGTTTAATTTGGGGGGGAGAGAGAGAGGGAAGAAGGTTTAATTTGGGGGGGAGAGAGAGAGAGGAAAGAAGGTTTAATTTGGGGGGGAGAGAGAGAGAGAGGAGAGAAGGTTTAAGTGGTTCCCAGTCAATGCCAGGCGCAGGCGAGGGCCCTGCCATGGGTACCTGTTGGCTTCCCTGGAGCTCTATTTCCCCCCGTTCCGTTTGCTTCCCTCCACACATACACAGCACGCCCACACAGACACACAGACACAGCACGCACACACACACACACACACACACACTACATGGGTCCACAAACACACTTTACACGACGTACACACACATATTTAATTACGTACGCACAAACGGGCCCTATGCTGCGGCAACTTGGTAACCTACAGTGCCCTGTAGCAGGAATCTTTACTGCCTTAGAATTACTGCCAATTTGCGTTTCCCCTATCTCTTATCCTGCTGTGCTCTGGCGGCCCCCGCTCTGCTTTCTTCCCATCCAACAGTGAGCAACTTCAGTGCGGCCACCGCACTGCCCCTGGAGGCCAAGGCCGTGGAGAAGGTGGACATGACGGGGGGGTACCGCTGGGAGCATGGTGGATATGAGAAATCGCTGGCGGGTTTAAGGGCGCTGCGGGAGTTCCTGCCGCCGTACATTGTAAGGCAAGTCCATGTCGTGCTGGTAGACATCCGGTCATCCATGTACGGGAGATCACCTCGTTGTACGGATGTGTACGATTTGGTACGGCATGAGGAAATCCTTAAAATCCATGAAGGGACTTTCAAAGAGTCTTTCTTCCGGCTGAAGAGTTGCTGTGGTGTGAGCTTTACGATAGGCAGGAGCTGGCGATGGGAAGCTTGTTAATTGTTCGTGCGTCACGAAAAAATGATTTTACAACTCTGCAAACGCCACGTAAACCATGAGTACTGTCCGTTTTGATGATGACTTCGCTGCTGCTGCTGCTGCTGCTGCTGCCGCTCGCCTTGAAAGTGATGTAAATCTGCTGCGAGTCACTGAACAGCTACTGTTGACTCCACATCCATCGCCGCCACCATCACCAGGGTATGCTACGACATGCCCAACGGCAGCCTCACACGTTATTGGACGATCGTAGTGCCCGTACGGCCCGGAGTGGCACGAGTTATATTCAGAGCCGGATTCGGCAAGACAAAAAAGCCGGAGACCGCCACTCCGCCTGCCGCCAACAGCGCCAACAACACCAACGACGCAGCTTCTGGCTCCAGAGGCAGCGGTTTCGGAGGTGGAGTTGGAGGTGGAGTTGACGGCAACGGCCCCTCAGCGGTTTCGGAGCCGCTGCCAGGAGCGCACTTCGGAGGGCCATTGGCTGTGGAAGCACCCAAGGATCCGCCGGAGGCGGCGGAGGGCCGCCGGGCCAGCGGCATCATCGGACTCGCCTCCCAGGGCCTGGGTTGGGTTTTTAATTTGCTGCCGCACTGGCTGTTCATTGGACAGCTGCTCTCCGATCAAGATCTAATCATGATGGCCAGGTAGGCGAAGCCGTGTGCGTGTGCGTGTGCGTGTGCGTGTGCGTGCGCGTGCGCGTGCGCGTGCGCGTGCGTGTGTGTGTGCGTGTGCGTGTGCGTGTGCGTGTGCGTGTGCGTGTGCGTGTGCGCGTGCGTGTGCGTGTGCGTGTGCGTGTGCGTGTGCGTGCGTGTGTGTGTGTGTGTGTGTGTGCGTGCGTGCGTGCGTGTGTGTGTGTGCGTGTGCGTGTGCGTGTGCGTGTGCGTGTGCGTGTGCGTGTGTGTGTGTGTGTGCGTGCGTGCGTGCGTGTGTGTGTGCGTGTGTGTGTGTGTGTGTGTGTGTGTCTGTGTGTGTGTCTGTGTCCCTGCACCTGAAAGCGCGTATGTGCGTAGCCCGGTACCTGCTAGGTGTTTGTAGCTGTAGTGGGCTGTATTGTAGGCCTGTAAGCTGGGTGATACCTGATACGACTGAGAAACCAAGGTTTGACTGCGGCTCCTTAAGAGAAGTGCGTGCGGGTGGTCGTGAGTTGCCGTTGGCTGCTGCTCCTGTCAGCCGGCGGCCACCGCCACCGTGTCGCGTCGTACGACTGTAGCATCGACAAAACATGTGCGTGTACAGCAAACCCAATCGGCCCCGGCCCCGCCACCTGCCTTCCGTCCGCAGGCAGGAGATGCTGATGCGCCGTGACGGTCTGACCTTCCGAAACTACGACCTCAACAGCAAGGCGGATGCGGGTGTGGCGGCTTTCAACGTGTGGTTGACGCAGGTGAGCTATCCGGACAGCCTCTGGGGCCGCCAAGGCGCCGAACCCCAGTCAGGCTCTACGTACGGCAACTGGCCCGCAAAGGAACTGCCCCTGGAGCAGCTGTTATCACGCCAAGAGCGCCATGTACGACACTGCGTGGTCTGCCAGCGTGGGGAGAAGCTGGTGACGGCAGTGTGTACGGCATTGACGGCGGCGGCGGGGATTGCCGCGGTGGCGGCCACCACGCTGGCGGTCATGGCGGCAATCAGTCCTGACGGTGTCGCCGCTGTTGGCGGTTGGGGTCCGTTAGCGGGTGCCGTAGTGGCGGTTGTGGTCCTGGCGGCGTTGGCGGTCCAGGGATGGTCGTTCCGCGAGGAGAGGTTTGTGTCAGGTGCCGCGCAGTGGCGCCGAATAGGCGGGTTCGCGTACATGGGCGCTAAGGCCAAGTAGGGCGACTGGACGCAGCCAAATATAAAAAACCCGCTGAGGGGACATTCTGAGTCATCCTGACAGAGCGGTCCTGACAACACGGGATGCTTTCCCTGAGTGCTTTAGCAGGTTATCTTCTTTTTTGCTTTATTGGAGAGCTATTTTCACTCGTACGCTGGGTACGCGCGTATACCAGCATATAATTTATGTGTTTATTGGAGTTGCATGCGCAGTTTGCATTAATAACTTGAATACCTAGTGAAAGCGCTGCTCATTTTTCCAGGATTTGAACCAACACCACGCACACAAGTCGCTCGCACATTTGTGTACAATCCGAATTTTGAGTGCATAATATACATTAGGTTGCACTTCCATGTATGAAGTTTACGGTTTATCACATCTCATATCCTGTACGATTACATGCCTGTACGATTATCGTTCTGCGTTTGCCGAACCGGCTAAGTATGGTTGCTGGTCTATTCGGGTAGTAGGTACGAGCAGCATGATGCCCCGTTCTGATGGACTTAGGAGGCGCAGGTCGATGTAATGTATAGGCCCATGCATGGTGTCTGTTGATGTCGAAAAGCGCAGGGGGACGTGGGTACTGCAGTTATGCTTCAGGTCTGGGACTATAAGCGAAAAGGTTGGGCAAGTTCTATCGACCACCCTGTCTGTTGGGCGATTGTGTGACACGTCTGGGGTCGTTCGGATGGATTGAGGGGTCCGTTTCCGTTCCATCTTGGAATCGTTTAGTTAATCTAGCCACGTTTTAGTTTAATTACGCCAGTTAAGTTTTAGTTTAATTACGCCAGTTAAAAATAGTTAAATTACGCCAGTTAAGTTTTAGTTTAGTTAAGCCAGTTAAGGTTTCATTCTGACTGGCGGGTGTAACCCCGCCCTTGACAGGCGGTCGGCACCTAGCAGTTCGTTCGCCGTCTCTTCCCCAGCAGTCCCACGAGGCTGAGCGAGTCGTCTCGACCATGAGCTACATAAAGAGCAAGCAGCGGAACCGCCGCCTGCAGCAGCCACACCTCAGCGCAGCTGTACGGCTGAAGGTCCAGTCGTGGTTCACAGTCTCGAGCTTTCCATACAAAGCAGCACTGCAGCACTGGACTCGTCCGGGCAGACCACCACGGGCAGTGAGAAGTTGGCGCTAGCATGAAGTCAGAACAAAACTTGACGTGTCAAGCTGTGCGGTGTGTGCTGCCCAAGAAGTAGCCATGGCTTGGGTTCTATCTGTACATACTTCCAGCCAAATCTTTCATCTGTACATATATCCGTGTAAATAAAGAAAATCAATATGTAAGCGTCGTCTTGGCTGTTCAGGATACTCGCTGGGGATTATTTTTTTTGTAAGGTGGTTACCAAGAAAAACCCCCGCAGTAACCACTTGGTCACTAAAAAAATACCAGGACGAAAAAGTTTGAAAAACACTGGTCCGACGCTAACAATTCCAGAGCGTACAAGTCGGCAACGAGAAGATATGTGAGCAGTGTGGGTTTGACAAAAAGCGCCGCATCATCGTCTCAGTGCATCAGTGCATCTCATTCTGCGGAATAAAGCTGCGACACCAGGAACTTTGGAACCTTGTACAAATGATGAAACCTTGCTTAGGTGGTTACGAGAAAAGAAGCGAAATGAAGCACTGACGTCACTCGCCCATGTGTACCGTGTGCGGTACAAATACGACGAACCGCTGTACATCCTGTATTTCATTTCTTGGGACGTGAACCCAGTGACGTCCTAGCGCCAGTTCGCCCAAAAACCTTCGCGTCACGTGTTCCGACTTTCCATCGAAACAAAACAAGCATAAAAAACGCCCGAGCTAACCAGCTTAAAGTTTTCAAACGCAACTCTTAATCTTGCGCTCCCTACCTACCAACCATCGTCACACTACCCAACTCCCTCCTTCAGTCACCTCTGTGCCCCTGTACGCCTCAGCATCCCGCGCGAGCGCGCACAAGAACCCCTCGCGGCGCAGCAGATCACAGGAGGTCAAAGCAGCAAAGCAGAGTAACAAACGCAAAAGAAGCGCAGCATACACGCCCACAGTAAGCTGGTATGACCACACCGCTCCAGCACCGGCTGGTCGCCAACAGGCACCTCGGCACTTGCCGCCGCGCACCTCCGTGCCAGCTCCAGCGCCTCTTTTGGGGGCTTCGAAACCACACGGCGCTGGTCGTTCCCCGCAGCCTACCTCAACCTACCTCCGGATCGCCGTGGAGCCCAAAATGGAGCCGAAGGGAGTCGGGCATGGTTGCAACCTGTGAGTACTAGTACTGATGCAACACTAGACTATGTTGCTGCTGGATACGAAACAGCTTGATGTTAGCACCGCCACCGGATATCGGCTGTACAACAGTACAGTAGCTGTACAACAGTACAGTAGTGTTACAACTTAATTTTAAGGTTTTCAAGTAGAGCTGGCGGAAAGACAGACGTGGAGATGTATAAAATGTCGTACTGCCGGTGTTGGTCCGCAAGATCCCGTACGGCCTTTCTTCTTCCTTCCGCCGATTTTTTTACTTCCTTCCGCAAGAGCAATGAAACCTTTGAAGGTTGTGTGGGTGCGTTTTGAGATGCCCTAGTGGCCGTGCTACTCATGGTTTGGTGTACGGCACACGGTACGGCATCTTCTGTGGAGCACGAATACCTACGCACATGCTCTCCGGCTCCATGCGCGCGGCTCCATGTGAACTCCGAACCTGCGAGTGTGTGCGCCGCTCCGCCGCCGCGTTCTGTTGTTAAACATCCGATCCAAGTAACCCCTTAATGTTCTCTTTCCCCCCCCCCCCCCCACACACACACACACACGCCGTGCTCCCGCCTACTTTCCACCGCGTCCCACGCAAAACCTCCCAGCAGCACCACTGCCGCCATCGTCGCCGTCGCCAACGCCAACGCCGATAAGCAACAACGCATCGCCCACCCTGTCCAGCCCGAGCTCGACACCGCAACACCCAGCTGCCGTCCCTCCCGCTCTGGCCCCCAAGCCTGTCAGGCAGCCCTCCCCCTCGTCCTCCTCCTCCTACCCCTGGCACCGCACTTGGGTGCCCTTGGCCCCGCTTTCCAGTCTGGACCCCAGTCGCCCGAACCCGGTGATGGTCCTGGGTGAGCAGCTGGTCGTGTGGCGCCACTCCCTCCGCGGCTGGGTGGTGCAGAGGGACGTGTGTCCGCACCGCCTGGCGCCGCTGTCGGAGGGCCGCTTGGAGGCAGCAGGCACTCGACTGGCGTGCGCGTATCACGGCTGGGAGTTCGACGAGGAGGGCAGCTGCACAAAGGTACCGCAGGTACGACACAGTACGGCACGGTACGGTACGGTACGGTACGGGACAGGAATGGAGTGAACGGGAGTGGCGGGAAGGGGGTTTTGGTAGAAGATGTGGGCCTTACACGGTATGCTGGGTCATGGGTTTGTACCTCTCCACGACCCCCCCTGGTTCCCGCCCGTCCAGAGGCTATGTCTAGGTTTTCCTGGTCTTGGAAATGCTGCTTGTCAAAAGAGTGACTGCTTGTTTTGGGGGGCGCTATCCCGCCGTGGTGCGAGGCCCGCCTGCGGGCACCTCTTCGGGCCTTTGGGGACCCTGACCTGACCTAACTACAATTTCGGGCTGCGAACAGCAGTACCGTAGGGCCAAAACTCGTCCGGTCGGGTAGTCATCCAATGCATCATCCAGCAACGTCATCGGTTCATTCTGTTTACTTGTAAATATGCCATGAGCACCTGCAAACAGCTGTTCTGCTCGTTACCCCACGTCCTCGCCACCCCTGCCACCCTTCCACTCCTCCACCAGCTTTCTTCCGACCCCCGGGCTGCCGCCACCGCCTGCTCCAGCCCTCGCTCCTGCGTCACCTCCTACCCCACCCTGGAGCTGGATGGACTCCTGCTCGTGTGGATGGACGACAGCAAGGAGGGAAGGCAGCAGGCGAAGATAGCGCCGAAACCCAAGCTGCTGGAACAGGCCCCACCTGTGGCTATGGACTGGTTCATGAATGAAATGCCCGCCGACTACATGTGAGGCTGAGGCTATGTTCTGTTTTCTTTTCTTTCCTTCCTTTTATTTTTCCTCTTCTTTCTCCGCTTTTTACCCTCATTCCTTCGTTGCGCTGTTTTTCCGCTGCATTACCGCTGCATTGCCTTTTGTCCGGTAGTATTGAAAGCATATGGTGGACCGACATGTATGGCTCGCATCGGCAGGCAGATGTTTTGCAGGTATATGGAGCTTACGCAGCCCAAACATCTGACATAAAGTCCCCGCACCGTTTTGGGTTCTGGGCTTTTACGCAAAGGCGGCCAGACGATGGAAAGAGAGATGGTGAAAACTCTTGTGGCCATGTGTGCCGAAGGCGTGTCCATCGCTGCTAGCTGTGCTGTCTGTGCACCGCCTGCATGTGGTCGCCTCCACGCTACTCCTAACTCCCTTATCCCATACATTTCCAGGAGCCTCCCTCTTTTCCAGTCGGCAGAAGGTGCTTTGGATGCACCTTCTGCAGTCGATGTTTCCCCCCGCTGCATCCCCAAAGGCTGTGATTCCCTCTCTTAAACTTGCAGGTACTGGCTTGAGCAGGGCATGGACCCGACCCATGCCAGCTTCCTGCACCAAAGCTGTAAGTCCTGTCCACTATATCTTTTTAGTGTGTGAGACCTTTTTTTAGTTTATGAGACCTTGCGTATGGTAAGGCGGGGAGGTTACACGTCCCTTACATGCGTGTGTGTCTGTGTCCGGGGGTTTGCGGGTAGCGAGCAACCCGGTGCAGCAAACATGGCGCAACGCTCGGTAGTGTTGTGACCGAACAACCCTTAGAAAGGGGCGGAAAACTGACGAGCTAAGGATAAGGAAACAGTGTACAGTGTCTGTGAAATCATTTACCCATACCACCTGCCAGCGCCGGTCGTGACTGCGTTCCATATCCCTCGTCTGTATCTGCCCGGCCGTACCCGGCCTCTTTTGTACTTGGTAATGCAACACGCATACACACATACATACATACATCAGTGAACCTTTTCGGCGCGGTAAGATCGCTACCCATGGAGAGCGAAGGCGCGGAGCATGTAGACCTTTTGGACGGGTTCCGTTGGGAGCATGGCGCCTACCAGAAATCGCTGGCCGGCATGCAGGCGGTGCGGGAGTTCCTACCGCCCTTCATCACCAAGTAAGGGCTCTTGCTGGACTGTCGTAGAGCTCAGTTTCCGCGGTACGGCATACGGCAGACGGCTCCTGTACGGCATGTTGTAGTGTATGGGTCCGTTTCACCTCTTGCATACGCGTATGTGACTGTTGTGTGTCATGTTAAGAGGCTGCTGCACTTGTGCGCGCGAGTGTGATGTCTATTGAACGTAGGATCCCCGCCCTAAAGCAAAAAGACAGTACGAATGTGGATGCGCAGCGATTGGTACTTGTTTTGTCGGCTCCAAGCCAGGGTTCGACACCCCGTACGGGGCCCGTAAGTTTTTGGCCTTTTTTCGGTATCCCCGTCAGGGCCCGTAGGACTTACAGTGGCCCCCGTAAGGATTTTGGGGCGCGAAGCGCCCCCGTACGGGGCCGCCCGCGGACCGGCCGAAGGCCGGTTACGGGTGGCCCCGTAAGGATTTTAAGGATTTATAAGAGGCCGTACGGTACATATTCCCATGCTTAAGCTGCCGAGCATGCTTCTCATGCTAACGGCGGCTGGGCTTCCGGGCATCCACTTCAAGTACAACCAGTACCGCTATTTCGTCACGGCTATGCGCGCTCTGAGCGAAGTCATCCTTGCCGCCCAGCTTGTTCGAATCCGTGAAAGCCCATTCTTTAGTATTATGTCAGATAGCAGTACGGACGTATCGGGTGAAGATCATGTTGAGGAGCAGAAGGGATGGGCGGCCGTGGCGGCCAAGGCGCTTGGCTTTCACTGAGTGTGCCGTGTGTCCCCCAGTGAAAATAACGAAAATAACGATTTACAGGCCAAAAAAATGCAAAGCGTCACTTTCCACAGCGTTTCAGCCAAGGACAGTGCCCCCGTAAAGGTTTTGGGGGGTTACGGGGGCCCCCGTAAGGTTTTCGGCCGGTACAGGAGCCTGGCACGGGGGCCCCTCCGTAAGGAAAATTTGGGAGGTACGGGGGAGCCCGCAAGTTTCAGGAAGGTCAGTGTCGAACCCTGCTCCAAGCACAGAGCAGAGACACGCACAATCCCGTTTTCATACTGGCTTTGAATGCTGTTACAGTGAATGCCTAAACGAATGTTATTGAATATGATTTCATGTGGTTCCCGCCGTTCCCTGAAGCATCCTGGAGGGGGCTTCACGGGATTCTGACATATACCGATCGGTACTTCTCTGTGGTCGTCGTACAACATTCCTCCGAACATCACACGGCTGTTATCGACGGAGGACGAAAGCTGCTTCCCGTTGGGGTCACCTATATAGCGTACTAAGCTGATTTTTTTTTATGCATACAACGCCATTGCACGCTGGAAATCTGTACGGCACATGGCACGCTGGAGAGCCGCCTGCGTTTGGCCTACATTGGGATTCGGTCTCCACAAATAGCCATGTCACGTAACGTCACGTCACATCACGGCCCATGTGATGTACGTGCCCGGCTGTGGCCCCCGTCCTTACGCCAGGGTCCGTTACCACCTAGCCGGCGGCCGTACGACACTGTTCTTCTGGACCATGGCGATACCGGTTCGGCCGGGAGTGGCGCGGGTCTACTTCAAATTCGGTTTCGCCAGCGCAGCGGCACCGGCGGCAGCGGTGCAGCTACAGCAGCAGCAGAGAGCCGCCGCTGAGCTAACGGAAAGCATCCCCGAAAGGAGGATACGCGATGCCAGCGGCGCCGGCGGCGGCGGCGGTAGCCGCATGTCGGCGTCCAGGTGGCTCAAGCGGCTGGCTGGCTCCGTACCTCACTGGCTGCTTGCGGGTCAGCTGATAGCTGACCAGGATCTGGTGGTCATTAACAGGTGGGGTTGGAAGGGTGTTGGCGAGGACTACATGGGAGGGTGGGGGTTTGGAACGCGTTGGGAGGGTTGGAGAAAAATTAGGCCAGGGGGGAGGGGGGGGAAAATGGAATGAATGCGGCCCAACTTCCGGTCATGCAGAGCTCAACTTCTGGCAGTCAACATCCGCAGGGCGTGTGGTGCGGCGCGCACTGAGCTTGAGCCTTGGGGAAGACGAGCTCATAAATGTGATGTTCCTTGTACATCTAAGGACGCCTCCGGCCACGTGCATCGCAGCAACTTCCATGAGCCGTCTAGGGTGGGGTGGGGGCCGCGACGCGCCTCGGCGACTGTGGCTGATGTCATGTTGGCCCGTTGGGGCCCCTCCGCGGTGACCTTCCGCAGGCAGGAGATGCTGATGCGCCGCGAAGGCCTCACCGCACGCGACTACAACCTCAACAGCAAGGCGGATGCGGGTGTGGCGGCTTTCAACGTGTGGCTGAAGAAGGCGGGCTATCCGGACAGCCTCTGGGGCAAGGGACCTGCACCTCAGTCGGGCCATACGTTCAGCACCTGGCCCGCTACAGAGCTCTCCCTGGAGCAGCTGCTGTCAAGACAGGACAGGCATGTACGACACTGCGCGGTCTGCCAGCGGGGAATGAAGCTGGTGACGGCAGTGTGTACGGCACTGACGGCGGCGGCGGGAGTGGCCGCGGTGGCGGCAACCACGCTGGCGGTCCTGGCGGCGATCAGTCCGGACGGCGTTGCCGTTGTTGGCGGTTGGGGTTCGTTAACGGGTGCCGTTGCGTTGGTTGTGGTCCTGGCGGCGTTGGCGGTCCAAGGATGGTCGTTCCGCGAGGAGAGGTTTGTGTCAGGTGCCGCGCAGTGGCGCCGAATAGGCGGGTTCGCGTACATGGGCTCAAAGCGCGGAAAAGCCGTCACGTAGGCGGCCAAGCAGCGCGTGTTTGCATAAGCGAACTCACGGCATTGCGTTTACTGTCCAGGGACATAGCGCTTGAAGTATTAGCTACCCCTCCGCCTCCGTCGTCGTTCAGTGTCGTTAGCGCGCTGTCCTGCAAACGAGCTGTCACTTACGAGCCAGTCGATTACAAGCTTATGGAACGGTTCCAAGTGAACGTCGCTGTTGCGGTGCGCGCAAAGCTGACGTTTTAGCTTTTTTGTAATACCGAAGGATTTGCAGAATACTTCAGGGCGTGCAAATTCCTTTTAATAGGAGGCGACCTTCGACTAATTAGGCACAGCAGGTTGCGGGAATTTTGATTTTCAACTCGACCACGTGTGGCTTTTGCGGCCCTGTTGCCGATGGTCTGGAAAGGGGACAGCTTTACGAAGCACCGGCGAAAAAAGGCTATATTTAGCATGTAGCTAACCTATCCTGAAAAAACGTGAACAAGTGTTCCTCGGAGCGCCGCCGGATTTCCGGTACTGAACCCATAAGAACGTGGAGGAGGTTAAGTGCGAAACGATCGGGACGAGTGCGGTTGCAGTTACCTTTGCTGCCCCCTGAAAGGCCGGTCCCTCGCACAGCAACAAGAGGGGACTACTGAGGATTGATGCTCACGCAACGAGCACATCGGCGCGTGACTCGCAGAAGAAACTTTTCTCACACGCCAAGCCTAAAACCACTACGAAGCGGGCAAACCTATTGCAAAGGCGAGCGGCTGCTCGGAACTAGTTTATAACCGTGAAGGCCTTGCCGTTGTTCGCTGCACATTTGCCACCAACCCTGCTTAAAGTAATGCAGATGTTTTAATACAAATGGAGTCCTCCCGTTAGACAACCGGTCAATGTTGGGGCTATGCAGAGTAGCTGCTGTATGCAAAAGTTGTCCCCCGCCATCGTTCAGCAAGTGCACCCCCCCCCACCCCCACCCCCACCACCCCAACCCCTGTACCGACCCCCATACGCGCTAAACGCTGCCCCCAAAACAAGGCCTCTGCAACCCGCCAAATGCAACCCGCCAAATGCTTAGTTCTCCGCCTTCTTTTCCTCCGTGTCCTTTAGAGCCGCAATCACGTCCGCCTGCTCGTTCAGCTCAGCCACCTCGAGTGCAGTCTTGCCATCCAGGTTCTTAGCAGTGCGGTCCGCGCCGCTGCAGAAAGCAAAGCAACAATTACACGGGATCAAAGGGTAGGGCAGAGGTAAAAACAATTAGAACAAGAGACCAGGGATTCCAGGAGTTAAAAGGAAACGACTAGTCCTGCACATATCGAGCCTGTCAGCAACCAAGGCTACTATCGCGAAATGCCCCACAGGAGCTCTAGCTTCCTAGCATCGGATTGTTGTGTAAGGGCTCAAGACCCGTTTGCTCATGTGCAAAGACACGCGCGGAACGTGTCGGGGCAGCAATCCAGGACAATCAAACAGCACATGTCATTATATTATCACACATGTTACTGTAATGAGCGTGGCCAATCCCGACGCGCAAACATACCTCTCAAGCAGCAGCTTGACGCTCTCAGCCTGGCCGTAGCCAGCCGCGTAGTGCAGCGCCGTGTTCTGGTTGGTGTCAACAGCGTCCAGCTTGGCCTGAAGGATGAAAAGCCCCATCCACAAATTCAGAATGCAAGGAGCAAGACATGTGATTATAGAGCCAAAATTGATAACATGCGGGCTTGTAAAGCACACATTATCGAAAAGACCCCCACCTTTCTATCACACACTGTTCGAAAAGGCAAAGCCACGCTCTCGCCCCTCCTTCCGGGAAACGTTACCTTGGCCTCAATCAGGACCTTGACGCATTCGATCTCGCCATAGCCCGCCGCGAAATGGAGCGCTGTACGTCCCTCCTCGTCCGCCTCGTCAACGTTCGCCCCTTCCGCGACCAGCTTCTTCAAAAGCTCCACGTCACCTAAAGGCATCATACATGTGCACACACGTTGGCCGCAATCAGTACCAACTGCTTGCATTTTAAACATCAATGTCCAGCATAACGTGCATGTTGCGAAAGGTTTCAGACGAGGTATCATCGGGCTTCACGAGCTGGGGTATATGTAGGGTGACAGGGCACTTCCAGCCACATCACGGGCTACTCACCACGAACTTCGGGCTGGTTTCGACTGCCGAGAGGCGTAAGTTGGCCCAAGACGTGTCACCCCAAGTGAGCCCAAGGACCACCCATACTAAACTCCAACACATTCACGCCACCCGAAACTACTTATCGATCCCTTCACGGCGCAGGCACATCACCCACTACGCTGCGGCAGGGTCCTCTGCTTAGGAAAGCACCTCGCCGCCAGCAACACACCCAACCCACCAGCGCTGGCTGCCCCGTGCACCGTTTCTTCAACGGCGCCCTCTCCTTCCTCGCCCTCTCCCTCGCCCTCCTCTCCGCCCTCTAGCGCGCCCGCGAAGTCGAAGACGCCGCCCATCGCCTTGCCGAGCTTGCTAAGCACCTCAGGGTTGTTCCACATCCTGCACAGATGGTTGGCCGGCGGGAAAAAGCATAAACGTTATCGTGAATATGGAAAGGTCCGAAATTAGTTCTGGCATACCCAACTGAACCTAAGTGGAATTGCTACCTATAAAATAATGGCCATGACCGTGCACATGCCTGTCAAAAAGAGTCATGACATACTTGGCATGCAAATTAGGTGAACTAGTAGTAAAAAGCCGCACCAACCTCTTTTCGCACAGCACGTTACCAAATTGACCTTGCCTGCGCCATTGTGCAACTAAACGGCCCGAAACACGGCCCCAAACAAAGCGCCCCCAATAACACGAGGGCCATCTCTCTCTCACACACACACACAGCGACGTATAAAAGCACCAAAAATACCCCCCTCCCCGGATGAGGTAACGCACTTCATCATGGCAGCTGGGCCCTGGCTCTCCAGCTCCTCCAGGATGGGCTTAAGCTCGGGATCGTCCTTCAGCCCCTTTAGAGCATCCTCGACCTTCGTCTTGTACTCTGGATCCTGCATGGCCTTCATCATGTTGGCCATGTTTGGATCGGCCTGCCAGGAAACACAGGAAATGTGCGTGTAATCGTGACCGGGGTATAAAACACAAGGCAGCCCCCGGCTGGAATACACAGGACTGGATATGCAGCACTCATCGGGAGGCAAACGGAAAGCTTTCGTGTAGATGGGTGGTCAGTAGTTGAACCGCCTTTCCTCACGTCAAGTCAAGAAAGCTCCATAACTGCACGGGTCATTCGGACGTGCTAAATGTTTCCCGCCGGGTGGATTGGATCCCACTTTCATGGAGGCTTGAAACAGGCACACTAGAGCGACGTTGTGCAGGTACTACGACGAAACCGGCAACTCGTACGGTGCCAATTTGAGTCTCCTGTCAGGGGCTCCGTAAGAAAGACCCATAACGCCAATGGCTGCATTAACAAGGAGAACTTTAGGTCTGCAGCTGTGAGGGATTGGCTTCATCACAAATAGTGCCTACCTCAATAATGGTTTTGCCCAGCTTCTCCGCCATCTGCATGAAGCCAGGGTTCTGGAACATGTTTTGCATCGCCTCCATGTACTTAGATGGGTCAAAGTTTGGAGGAAACATGCCAGGTGGCATCCCCGATGGCATCCCTGGGGTGGCAGGTGTAGTTGAGGTCGCAAGAAAAACGTCACTTGTCTGAATTTTTCAGAATTCTTCTATCCCTACTAAAGCCTGTTTTTGCGCACTCACCTGCCGGCGCAGCTCGTGCCTCGCCGCCCGCACCCATTCCGCCCATCATAGCGCCAAAGCTCTGCTGCATCTGAGTTGCGATCTCCTTGAACGAGGGATCATTTGCAATTTGCTCAGCCATCTGCTTGATTGACGGATCCTGTGGTGAAGGCAAACGGATGGACGACGGCGGTCTTTCATACACAAATCTTGGCCAACGGTTCGACTGAACTCCTCGGTCGGCAATTATATTGCATCGATCCTAAACCTCAAGCAACCTTACATTCAAAGCAGACTGCAGCGCAGAGAAGTCGAACGCCCCACCAGGGCCACCAGGCGGCATTCCTGGGAACATTTTTCCTACTTTCGTATGGAAAAAGGATACAAGGACGTGCACGGCTTTGGCAACGCTCTGATAGCAAAGGAACCGTTTAAGGTCCAGAGTCCCTTTTGTCTTGCCTCATGGACAACCGTCAGCGTCTCCGTATACCCGTATCATGAACACCACAAGATGCACAAAAAGTGCTAATTCAAACAATGTTAACAATAAAGATAACTCCCATATGTCAGTGCGAGCAGCCTCGCCTATGTGCTGGAGCTCAAACTCTAGCTCATGCTGCCCGCATTTTGTCACCGTCGCATGTTGCGCTATATTAAACGGAGCTTTGCCTCACGTGGCATCCACATCAGCTCACCTATGAAGGAAGACGGATCTCTGGTTGCTTCTTATTGCGTCTGTGTGCATTTGTTGTTAACATGGGCCACATCGCTGGCCAGGCAAAGGCTTGTTTTCAACGCGCAACCTCGCTACGTTCCTGCTTGTGTGTGTTTTTGAGTTCAGAACGTTGAAAACCCGGCGCATCACGTGGCAAACAAAACTGCCACAACCAGGGCACGCAGCCTTTTCCGTGACCAGGACTTCGTCGTATCCAAACTCCTTGCATATGATACGCGTACTGGTGTAGTGTTGCCTGGCACATGCCTTGGGGGGAAGAAGAGGGGTTGTGGCGTGCTACTCTAGCGAATTGAACATACGAAAGCCTAGACCGAGTTTTAGCACCGTAGGGAGGCATGCAGGGTGAGAGAACATCACACCTCATATCTGTACATCGTACCAATGATAAGGGACAGTGTCTCTGTCACATCCATAAAGCCCAAAGAAGGGAAGGGAAGCTGGAGCAAATAACTCTCAGCAGCAGGTACGTCCCATGACATGCTTGAAAACGGCTCTATTAGCTTACCTATTTCCTGCTGCTGAATTAGGATTTCCCGCACGCTTCACTCCATCTACGTCTGTATGTGTTGTGATTATCAGGCACCTTCCTGCTCATGCAAAACAGACACAAAAGCACCTTTATAACTTGCCAGTGTACAAGAGCACCAGACGTATCCAACCGCCAGGGCAATAGTAGCACAAGCCGCGTGATCTGCGCAGCCTCATCAATCCTTCACTCCACTCCTAGAACTACTTCACGGCCCCAGAGCAAAACCCTCGCCCCACTATCGCAGACCACCCGGCAACCAGGACAATCCATCCTCCCTGCCAGCCCATCACCACCCCCCGTTCCTCCTACCTCTTCCAAACAACAACTTACCGACCGATAACCACGATAAATCCCATCTCCCTCATCCTTCAGCCTGCAGCTCCGGCCCCTATAACACGCAAAGACAATACGTCAAGCTTACTCTTGGCATCCATGTCTCCAAATTAACTAAGGGTGAACCAGCCAAAATTCCCTGGCCCATTCTTATGGGCCCCAGAAAACATCTACGGTCAACCTCCTCCTCCTGAAAATCTCTCCCCTCACTACAGCCCAGTCCAACTAGGCACCAGCGTGCAATAAGAGCTCGATCCAAGCCCTGCAAGCGATGACGACCCATGCAGCCCCCCTCTGATGAATTCCAGCCAACGAGATAACCGACAACAGCCCTCTCCCAAACATCTCTCCCCTTCTTACGCCCCAAGTCCTCAAGACTTCCAGACCTCATGCAGAGGCTCCACTACTCGCCGCCGCGGCACCCTGCCCCGCTGCTGCTGCCGCCGTCGCCGCCGACTTGTTGATCTTGATGTGCAGCAACGACTCAATCTCATTGCGGCAGATGGGACACTTGTTGGTTTGCGCCTTGAGCGCGCTGGCGCAGCTGTGGCACATGCACATGTGCCGGCACGGCAGTGCGGTGGTATCCCGTGCGGCGCTCATGCAGATCACGCACTCATTGCCATCAAGGTCGTCATAGCCATCCCCGGCAGCAGCGTTGCCCCCCGCCTTGTTCTGCTCCATGCCATAAATCTCCTGCGCAGGGAGGATTTCCAAGGCGCAAACGAGTCTCCTGTAGCAATGCGAGATTGTGATATCCATAACCGGTAGACATCATACAACTTCTCATGTTGGTCATTATAATCCCAATCCATGCATTGAGGCATGCTGCCGGACCCGCAGTCCGATCCCAGCCCTGCACCCCCCTTTATGGACGCGAAACACCACAACCACACTTGCAACCTCCTGTAACCTGCCGGAATCTGGAGGTGCAAACGCGCAGCCTCTTCCCCCCAGCCCCTTGAATACACCATACCCGACACCACGGAACCCGCACCTGCAGTTCATAAGGGGTGCCCTTGACCCAGATCTTCTGCTTAATCACGCGCAAGCCCCATGAGCCGTCGTCTTCCTTCACGAGCTTCGCGTAGGTCGTCTGGGATTGGACCCAGTGCGGCAGCTCACAGCCCAACTCCAGGGATCCCAACGAGCGTCCCTCCGCAGCGGCCTCCTCGCCCAGTGCCTCCAGCCGTATGATAACCGGGAAAGTGTCGTTTGACGCGCTGGTGAGGTCACGCGCGGAGATGCGGCCTGAGATAGTGTTTACGACGTGGCCGCTGGCCAATCCCGAGGGCGCGCTCGGGAACTTGTGGTTGAGCTGCATGCGACGGGGTTCATTGGGGTCGGCTTGAGCTGGAGTTGTTTTGGTGGAGTTAAGTTTAGACTAATTTTTGCGAGTCTGAAATGGTGTGACTGGAGATGTCGCAATTTGGGTGTTTCTTTTATGCGAGGGAGGTGTGCGGGAGGCGCGAAACCAGTTTGCGAACCGTGGTGTATGGGCGGGGCTATGTATTTGTGCAGTCAAAGCCAGTGGTATAACTCACCCCCTGGGGATATGAGACAGCAGGTGCAGGTGGGAGAGGGGATGTAATCTTGCAGGCCCTCCTGGAGTCCTCATGCGCACATACGAAGGTCGTAACCCGGCACGGAGCCGACGCGTCAAATTGGAAGGTGATGGCGTAGATGCCCGGCTGCGACGTGGCTTCCAGCGCCAGGGTCTGCTTCTTCAGGTTAACCTGGTTGCGGATGGTAGCTGTCTGACACTCCTGGGTCGGCACCGGACGGGGCGGCTGCCCGTATTGATGTGGGGCAAAGGCTGGTTGCGACATGGGCACCTGCATCATAGGCGGCTGCAGGGCAAAAAAGACGGTAACGTGGCCAACCATCGGCACAGAAGGACCTAACCAAGCATCATCCTACCCGATAGGGCTGCGGTATCGGCATGGTGCCTCCATAATACTGCTGCTGAGATGTTGGTGGTGGCGGATACTGCAAGACATAAGACACAAAGGAGTCAGCTCGCTGCATCCAGCTTCTCGGTGTCCTCTCAATAGCGCAGCACGACAAACGAACCTGCCCCGGCGCTGTCAAGAACACAGGCGGAGGAGGATATACTTGGGTTGTGTAAGTGGGCGGTACAGTTGTTGGAACTGGCGGAGGAGCCTGGCGCCTTGGCCGTTCGTTAGACTGGGAAGAGCCCATGCTCCCCCTAGAGAATTAACAGCTTTAGGATATGGTTATGAAGTTTTGCTATAATAGAATAAATTTCCTCCCGGCGCTCCTTTCTGTGTACAGTTCTCAGACTGGGTCCGAAGCGGAGCTTTGTAGATAAACAACTATGAATGTCTAGATAAAGACAACGGAATATAAGACACGCATCTATTTGGTTTACAAAGCTTGGGTCTGCCCAGCGCTAAAGTTGCAAGTTACAGGACGGGGTACGGTAACCCTCTCACCCTCTCCTGATCTGCGTGACGAACCTAAATGGTGCTGGGAATGCTTGATAACTAGACAGGAACTTATTTCAAAATTCCGCCCACGATTTGCCCCACCTCCATGCCACTTCCGGCAACGTCCCGGAACACATTCCAATGATGATGTTTGCTTAGACGGATTACATCGTTATCCATGCGGTATCATTTCGCAAGAGGAGTGGGCCGCGCCCTCGCAACGCAATGTGCGACGAAGAGCACCTCACGGGGTTTCTTTTTCGTGTCCGCTAGCTACCATGGCAGAAGCCTGCTTTCCGCCGCAACGGAGCTTGCTCTTACCGTGCGGGAAGCAATGGGCCCTGAGTAAGTCCGTAATACCTTCTTAAGCCTGTTTGAATTAAATCTTGCCAAAATCTCCGCTCAAGCTCAATCCCATCGTGGTTTCCGTACAATTTTCCTATCTAACCACGGGGCCCCATTCCACCCAACTTCCATGTCGCGCAGTCGCCCTCCGCATTTGATCGCGTTATTCGCAACGCCGCATCCGGAATGGGGAGCTAGCCTAGCGGATACACCACAGGTGCGATGAAGCGCAATTGTGAACGACAAAGATGAGCATCAACAATGATAACGTTGTGACGATTAAAAAACAATCGTCATGCGCCAAAACCTGCACACAGCTTCTCTTCCCACGCAAGACGTCCTGTACAACACTGTACGGCAAAACATTCCAGAGCGCCTACCAGCACCTCCCCCCTGAGTTGACAGACCTATTTCCCAATGCACTTTAGAGGCGGCGCGGCCACCCGTCACCTTGGTGTGTATCACACGGCCGTTGTCACTGTCGTCATCGTCGTTGTGTCTACTTTTCTGTTTATGTTTTTTTGTTTTGTTTTTGTCGTCCTCCTCGTCTTGGCGTCTTTTCGCTCTGTCCTGGTTCTCCTTTCATCCTCTGCTTGCCATCTTCGCACCCGCTGTTTCTTTGTTTCGTGTTTTGCTTGGACACCCGAAAAGCTGGTATTACTTCCACACGTATGTATGTATGTATGTACATATGTATGTATATATATGTATGTATGTATGTATGTATGTTCGTCTGTCCACCTGTCCATCCCTCCCTTCCGTCATCCGCCAACGCGCAGTGCATACGGGAGCTGCTGACGTACGAGGGGGCCCAGCCGCCGGTGGTCGTGGGCGGCGTGTTGCGGGTGCGTGCGTGCGTGCGTGGGTACGTGTGTGAGCATGCGGGGAAAGGTTTGGGCTGTGCGCGGTTTGGAAATCTGAGAGCTCTCCGCGAGCGGTGACATTTTTGCCGGCAATGGCGGTGGATGGCGAAGTGGCGGTTTCTTGAGCCTTCTTGACAAGAAGGCCTTGGGAACATTCCGGTCGCGAAAACACGTCTGGTTGGTTTTGGCTGAGCAGTATAGCTTGAGTCACCAGGTTCACCAGGACTTTCACAGTGACTGCCATTCTAATTACATACATACATGCGCCCGTACATATATACGTACATATATACATACATTCGCCCCGCCCGCCGCAACCCCCCCCCCCCAACCCCTCACCTCCTCCTTACCCCCCACTACCAATCACAGAGTGTCACGACGGCAGCAGGCGGCGGCAGCGGCAGCGGCGGCGGCAGCGGCTCCCAAACCAGCCCTTCCTCCGCAAGCTCCTCCCCCTCGTCTTCCCCTTGCGTGGCCCTCCTGGCCGCTCACCTACCCGGTGTACGACTCATGCCCTTCCACACGACACAGAGCTCCCTACCCGACCTCCCTGGAGACGTATGGACGCAATTGTTGAGGGGCACGAGATCAGGGCGGACGACAACAACACAAGCTGCATTACCGGCATGGAGCGCGGGAGCAACAGCAGCAGCAGCAGCAGGAGGAGAAGGAGGAGGAGGAGAAGGAGGAGGAGGAGGAGGAGAAGGAGGAGGAGGAGAAGGAGGAGGAGAAGGAGAAGGAGGAGGAGGAGAAGGAGGAGGAGGAGGAGGAGGAGGAGCCGTTGCCGCGGGCTGCGGCTGTAGTAAAGAAGGCGGGGGGTTTCCGGCGCCGGCGGGGCATATTGCGGATGTTCGACTGGCGGGCAGTCCAACAGGAGCATCAGCAGCGGCTGCAGCACCAGCACCAGCACCACCACCAGCAGTAGCAGGGGCAGTGGCGGGAGCGGCGGTTGGGTTTGCTACTGCTTCCCGAGGCGGCGTTGGGGGAGTTCCTGGGTTAGGCGACGAGGTTTGGGATAGTGGTCGGTGCCAACATCAACATCAACATCAACATCAACATCACCGGCAGGACCACCACCACCGGGAGCATCAGCAGGACCACCACTGCTCAATGGAAGAAGGGGCCAAGTTGAGGCGCTCCTGGCGCTTAGAGGTGGGGCCCCAGGCAGCAACGGCCGCGGCCGCAGCTGCAGTAAAGGGCGGTAATCTGAAACTGGCAGCTGCGGCGGCGCCAGGGCCGGGGCCACTGCATCCGCCGCCGCCGCCGCCGCCGTCGCCGCGGTCGCCGCCTGCGCCTTCTTCTGTAGCGGCATTACTTCTGAGCACTCCTCATTTTGTTGAGGTCGAGGAGTTGTTAAAGCGGTTTGGACGAGTTGTTCCTGGCATGCAGGTGAGATACCAGGCATGTGCGGTGGGGGGGAGGAAAGGGGGTTGGGGGGAGGGGGAGGGGGAGGGAGAGGGGGAGGGAATGTCAAACCAGGGGGAGGGGGGTTTGGCCCCGAGGTTGCACATGGTTGCAGGCGAATCGGGTGGGGTTATGGAGACTGACAAACAAAACAAACAGACAGGCAGACGGACAGACAGACAGACGGAAGGATGGACGGACGGACGGACGGACGGTGAAGCACTTCTCCTTAACCACTAATATTTTTTATATAACACTTATGCATCTCGATACGCCCGTGTGGATTCATCCCCACGTTCCCCTCCTCCTTCCCGCCTGTCACCCCACTTTAGAACCCCCTTCCCCTGATGGTTCCCGCCCTTCGTCAACACCCCATGTTGGCTTTACTGGACCAGTTGATTGGAGGTGTCACTTGTCCTGGTGCCTGGGCCGACTCTGAAAGCGACTGGGGGGCCGTGTGGCTGAATGACAGGACATACGCACAGGGCGCGGTGGGCTGTGTAATGCAGGGACCCTTCAAGGTGAGCGCCTCTCGTGCGGCTCTCGAATGATGTTCGTGTGCGTGTGCGTGTGCGTGTGCATGCCTGTGTGTGTTTTATTACGTATAACGTATAACGTATGTGCAGTCCTCGTCCTCATCCCATCCTTCACAGAGGCCCCCCCGTGCTCATAGGCCCCCCGTGCTCACAAGCCCCCCGGCCCCCAACCCTTCCACACCCACCCTCGGAGCTGTCCTCAGCTGGAGACCCTGGTTAGCCCCGGCTTTGCGGGCTCGGGGCCCCTCATGAGGGTGACTCAGGCGCAGGGGCAGTGTGTTTTTGAGCTGGATGGGGAGGCCGTCCAGCGACCAGTGAGTCAACAGGGATGGAAACAGAGGGGCATGGCGAGTGTGTCTGTGCGTGTCTGTACATCTGTACGTTTGGGTTCCGCCGTGTGTGTATGTATACCTGTACATATGTATGTGTTGCATGAACTAAATTACGGGACTTTGGACCGAAGGACGAGGGCCGCGAGTGCGCGTATGTATGTATGTATGTATGTGTATATATGCACATGTCAGCAAGCGCCGACCTCGCCCTCATTAACCCCTTATCCTCCGCTTGCTCCCTTCCCCATCCCGCCTCTTTGGCAAACGCCGTACAATCCCCCACCCGCCCCTTCACCTTCCCGAGCAAAAAAAACCCTGGCTACCACCCTCACTCCAACCCCCCCCACGCCCTCTCGTCCCCAACCCCACCGCTGCGCCACCGCAATGTTAGCTCCAACGTGCTATCTCGGAGGCGCTGAGCTCGGGCGAGTTTGCCTCCTCGCTGAAAATCGGGCTGGGAGACGCGAACACCAACCCCGCCACCGGAGCCGCCTCCACCAACACCAACACCATGGGTACCGCTACCAGCACCCCCACCACTAGCTGCTACCGTAACCTGGATAAGACCGGTAAAAGCGATTCCCAAAACCCGCAAGCAACATCCCGATACCACCCACAACAACAACAGCAGCAACAACAACAACAGCAGCAGCAGCGGTCATCGCAGGCCAGCCCCCGGCTGCAGGTGCCCTCCACCACTGACGCCGCCGCCGCCGCTGCTGCTGCTGCTGCCCAAGCCACTGCCACTGCATTACCACCACCACCACAACAACAACAACAACAACCGCACCTGCAGCAAAACCAGCACCAGCAAACCCACCAACAGCCGTCCAAGGACACCCCGAACCAGCAGCACCCTACCCAGCTAGTGACCCGCAACTGGTTCTTCCAGCAAGGACCGCCTCGCCCCTTCCTCATCGTGCAGTCTCCAGCGCCCATCACTACCGGCGCTCTCCTGCAGGTGCAGCTGCAGTGAGTACTAGGGGTGTGTGTGCCTCCCCGAGGACCGGAGCGACGGTGGGAAGCAAAGCCCACCAGGATAAATAACAAACCATTCGGAAATTCACAATGTAAAAAATGATCCACGGGAGGGAGGGGGGTGGGAAATTCCCACGGTATGCCCCTGTACCCATGAAATATGTGTTGTCCCCCTCACAGGTATCATGTATTAGCCTCCCAAGCATCCCCTGCTCTTCAACTCCTAGCTCCCTCCCTTGTCCTTAGTTTCCTGCCGGTTAGTTAGTTAGTTTCCTAACCTGGCGCCTCCATACATCGCATCTGACCTCAACGGGGTCGGTTCGATCGCTGGCTGCACAACGAACCGACCGCATCGCAGGAGGTGTCCTGATGCCTACCACCGGCGGACGCGCGAGCGGTTGCGGGAGTACGCCGAAGCGCTGCCTGCCAGCGTGGTGGCCTCCAAGGGTGCCGTGGGGGGTCTGGGTCTGTCCTGCTCCGCGCTGGCTTTCTCTGAGGGTTCGGATGTGGCGGAATGCCTGCCGGGAGCGGCGGTGAGCGGGGGAGTTTGTGGGGGAGGTGTGGTGGCGTTTTGAGGCGTGTTGGGCGACCATATTGATGATGCTCATGCAAAGAATGAAATGAGGTGAAACTGTTTTTAAAGGGGAGGGGACCCTGGGGGGTTGGGGTGTATTAGCTTCCCCTCTCCCCAACAAGGTGGTGAAGTTAAGGCCGGGAGGGATGTGCTTGGGGTTTAAGGGAGGGGTCGGGTTTTTTGCTTTCCTAATCCCAGACCCATGCCCCCTTGGCTACACATCCATCCGACAGCCCACCTACACCCACCCACCCGCCTACTCCGCTCGTTCTGTTGCTGCTGTTGCTGTTGCTGTTGCTGCTGTTGTTGTTGTTGCTGCTGCTGCTGCTGCTGCTTGGCTGGCTTTTTGTGCGGTACCAGTTCACGAGCTGCAAATTGGAGGGTGAGATCTGCTCCACAGTTGAAGGGCAGCCTGCGCTGCTGCACAGCTTCACATCCTGTTTAGCCTTCCTGCGAGCAGCCGACTCCTGAGGAAGGGCCCAGGACAACAACTACGAGGACAACAACATAGGTATTGGAGAAGGAAGGCGCAGACACACACTGTCAAGGCGGAGTTCCCTCCATAATTAAGAACAGATAGATACATTTGTGCTTTGAAAAATAACAAATTTAATAACGTTTCCTGCATCCATCTTGAGGTTGGAGACTGAGACAAAGTTGCTGCTAATATAATAATGATATTTTCGACTCAAACGGTAGATGTGCAGCGGGCGGGAGTTCCTTGGGGTTGGGGATGTGCAGGGGATATAGCAAATCTTTTGATCTCTTTCAGGTGCTGCAATTTGCCATCTGCAATCTGCCAACTTAGATAGCAGTAGCCACGTAAGTGCGCCTTGTGTAGTAGCTGTCGTACAGTACGGCACACACCATCAAGTATAAATCTGCGCGCTAAATGCATTCACAGCATTATACCTCGAGAGGCCGTCTTGGCGGCCAGGTACTACATACAGCGTGTGCGCGTGCGTGCGTGTTGTATCACGTATTTCATTATCTGCACCTCACTGCATCGCACCTGGAGACATCATTTCGTCGCCGGGTGCTGGACTGGGGGCTTGTGTTCGTTTCTGCTGGGTGTGTTCGTGGGGGGCCAAGAGGTTCACGGGACGGCAAGGTGGCCATGCAGCTAGGGGCCATGCAGCTAGGGGCCATGCAGCTAGGGGCCATGCAGCTAGGGGCCATGGCCATGCGGGAAAGGGACTGCCGAAGGCGGCTTGACGGACGGACGGACAAAGGTCATTTGACTGCCTGCCTGATGGCTGTGTGGGCTGAGGAAGAGTTCTAGGAGTTGGTCCTCTCCCCCCTTCTCAATAAGCCTCACTTTAGCCCCCCCTGCGGCAAGTGGACGTCCAAGCCTCGTTTACACATCCCCATGGCAAGGGGCTCCGTCCTTGTCGCTGCACACAACACTACGACATGTACATATTGCAATAACTGGCGGCGACAAAACCGGCAAGTGGGCCATGCGGGCCGTTATTTCGAAATGTCGGTTACCCTACCGAAGCAACCTGTTGGGTGTTAATAGCTAACCGGCCGGTTACGGATGACCCTTTTATGCCATTGGTTGGAGGAAGGGATATATGGAGGCAGGGATGTATAAGCGGGGACGCCAAATCCAGAACCATTACGGACCCTACAGAAGGGAACGGCCCTGAGCCCTTGTTTTACAGCCTGGTCCACGACACGAGTTGGGTTGGTGGTCGGGCACATATGGTGGTTCCACAAAATCTGTCATAGTGTAATCAGCAGTCCTGAGGGCCTTAGATTTAGTTCTGAGGTCCATATATAGATTTCATATGCGTACACACGTAAAGTGCCCATTACGCAAAACCCATCGACAGCCAACACCTTGCCCACCACCAAGACGACCTGACGACTGTCACATGACACAAGGCGGTCACGAAGTGCATTGCAGCATTCGACTACTACCATACCACAAAGCACGGACACTCATGTACTGGCATCATCTGTACGGCATAAGCCCCATCACGAATACACATGCATATATGGCACAGTGTAATTACAAGCAGAGACAAGACGCACTTGCATGCATACATACATAAATACATATTGATGCGGGTTGCATGAGGTTGCACATGTGCAGCGCTCACACTCACACGCACAGAGTCAGGACATGCCCATGACAGCCAGATGCGGGCGGAACAGGAACAGGAAGAGGGAGAGGCCGAGGCCGGCAGGGGTAGACAGGGGCCTCTAGCTGGATAGATCTATACCAGCGTGATTCTCCTTAACATCCCAAAACCCCCACCTTCTATTCTGTGGTACATCCTATCCTGAGCACCTCCTCTTCGCCGTCCCCCCATCCCCCGACTTCCTCATCCACTCACAGACCTCACAATAAAAACACATTCGCAACCACATCCATCAATCCATCAATCCATAAAAAACCTCAGTCATGCTAGCGGTTCCGAAGCCTCCACCGCCGCGGTCACCGAGTGCGGCGTTTCCCGTCCTGTCGCCTCCACCGCCTCGCAGCGGTATCGTATGGGCGGGTCCTGTAGCTGGCCCTGGCAGGGTATGAGCCGGAGCTCCCGAAGCGCGCATACCTGGGGGTTGCAGAGGAGCAGCGGAGGCGGGTTTGAGGTCGACAGCTTCAAGGGGGAATCCAAACACGTCGCGGGTGGGTGACACTATTCGGAGTTACCACTCTTCGGTGTTATCGTGAAAGTGAGTGAGTCAGTCCGCCGTGCACCACCACCACCACCACCACCACCATCATCATCATCATCATCAACATCGGCGTGTGCCGCACTTCATTCGGTTTCATCACGGCACCGAAGATAATCATCATCACTACGGCCCCCCCCCACACACACAAACATACACACACGGCCATTCACATCCGCAGCCCCCCCCCTCACCTCAGCAGTTCGTTCCTCCGCCAGGGCCGCAGGGCCGCTGTGCCGTACCGTGTCCGCCAGCACCGCCTGCAGCCCCCCCACCGCCTTCTCCACAGCAGTCGCCAGGTCGCCCGGATGATGGTGCATCCAGGCGAGCAACAGCGCCGCGAAAAGATCCCCTGCGTGTTACTGGCCCCGGTTACTCGGTTGCAGGTGACTCCAAAAGAAATCGTGACCACCTCCGGAAGGGAATTATTTTCTCGGTAAACACTTGGTCACCACCTAGTAACCACTTTTAAAAGTACTGGGGGTAGGGTAGGTTCTCCGATGGGTGTAAGGCAAACTACTGACGAAGGGTGGGGGTGTTTTGAAGGGGGGATACAAGGGGATGAGTTCGGAGGCATCCGTCCGAGGCGGGGCCGCGGCGGCCGGCAAGAGCAAACGAAAATTCCTTCCTCTTCTCAAAACACCTTCCGTGACATCCTCGATGCGAGATGCCAGATGTCAGATGTCGCATGCTAGGACAAACACCACACAGACAAAACCCACGTAAACGAGAGCGAGGAAAGAGAGATGTAGAGCGAGGGAGAGTGCTCTCGCGCTCGCTCCCAAGAAGCGTCACCCAGAAGCACCGTACGGCGCCTACCTGTGCCCGTGAAGTATGCCTTGATGCGATCAATCCGCATCATCAACCTCGTCGCGCCGCCCAGCCGACCCTCTCGCCGCTGCGGCAGCCGGGTAGCCGCCACCAGCAAAATGGAGCCGGGGTCTCCTGGAGGGGTCATGCTGGTGATGATAACCGTGTGGGGCCCTCTATCCATGAGGGTTTCACACGCCGCCAGCGCGTCGCCTAAACAGGCAATGGGCGTTCCGCCTGTGAGCAGCTCCGCCTCGAATTGGTTGGGCACCAGTACGGAAGCTAACGGTACGATTTGGGATGTGTACGCGTGTACGAGCTCCTTGGCGACGTACAGACGGCCCTCGTCGCCCAGGACCGGGTCGCAGACTGAGACATTTGAATGTGGGGGAAGGGAGAGGAACGACCGCGGGAAGGGGGGAAAGACGAACCACGAACGAGTGAAGCTGCTGCCAGAAGGCCGGAGGTGGGGGGGAGAAACACAATAACGGCCGTGCCATTGCCAGCAGCATGTGGACTTGCGGGATGTACACGTACGACTCCAAGAGAAAAAAAATTGAAATAGCTACAAGTCCTTTATATTACTGAGTTGCTTCTTCTAGAATCCTACTATTACCTCAAGAAAAAGCAGTTTTTGCAGCTTGTACGGCATAGCTCTCACCGTACGTGAGATTGGGCGAGTGGCGCTTCAGCTGAGTGCAGAGATCCGCGATGGCTTGCAGCAAGGAGAGGCTGCCGATGTACCCTGCATGCATGCATGCATCCATGCAGTCGTTGTACATGCATGCATGCAGCCGTACATACATCAATGCGTGCAGATGGCAATCCTTTGGCGGCGGCTCATTCTCCTGCAAACAACAGCAACCGGTGTGTCGGAGGGCGGCAACAGGGCTCACACACACTCCAGGGGGGGGGGGAAAGGGAAGGGGAGCATCTGTTGGGAGGTCTCCGGAGCATCTCGCCCCTCTCACTCCGCTCCTCCTCCCACTCCCTTCTCCCCCCCCACTCAGCTCCTCCTCCCACTCCCTCCCCCCCCCACTCAGCTCCTCCTCCCACTCCCTCCCCCCCCCACTCAGCTCCCCCCACGTACTGACCAGTCAGCAGGTGCGTGTGGTTGAGCAGTCCGTTGACTTCCAGCCCCGAAACCAGGGCCCTTAGCTGCTCGCCATCGAACACGGAGCCCTTGAAGGCGGGGTAGCCCGTGTGGTTGGAGAACTGCACACTGTAGATGGGGTCAACCTGAAGGCAAGCGGGAGACGGACAGTGGGAGTAGTCGCGCACGCATGCACGCATCCACGAACCGAAAGGTAGCCGGCAAGTGCAGGCCAGGTAGCCCGGGGGTTAGATAGTTGGGGGATAAGACCCGCGGGTCAATCCTCCTAACACACAAAAAAAAGCACGCACACAATAAATATCGCTCTGCTATGTTGCAGTAAGCTGTATCTGCGCTGTGCAGCCCCGGGCTCAAAGAGGCTCAGGAAGAGCTGCATTCCGTGATAATAGCTACAAAGTGCACTATGTAAATCGTACGAGTGGTAGTACGCCAATGTAATATATGAAGGTTGTGCGGCATAGTTCGTTAGGGCAGAATAATGTCAGAGAACCCCGAGGAGAGACGCTTGACTGGATTCTGGTGACAGAAGCTGAATGAGGCGCCTGTAGGACCTGTCCCTCTTCTCAGCAGCAGCCCATCCACGTCCAAGGCGTGTAGACACATCACAACACGCCGGGGGTGTAGGGGCCTGTTCGACCCGAGGCGCCGGGGAGTGCCGCATCCCCTTATCGCATGCGCCCAAAAAGGTGGCAAGATGCAAACGCAGACGCTTCAGGGTAGCTTGTTGCCCACGGTGAGGGGCCACCGTGTGTGTGTGTGTGTGTGTGTGTGTGTGTGTGTGTGTTTTGGGGGGTGAGAGATTTCAAAAAAAAAGACTTGGCGTTATTGAGTGAGATATGGCTGACTGCTCATCCCACTCCAGGGCGTGAGGGGACGTGGTTTTGCGGCATTTGACGCGGGAAGGAAAGGGAAAGAAAGGGAAAAAAAGGGAAACTAAGGGAGGAGGGAGACGTGGCACGCTCGCACCTCAAGACCGAGGATTTGGAGGGGAAACACGGCGCATTTGTTGCCAACGTAGCCATGTACGACGTGGGACTGTACGGACAGCACACGCGGAAGGGGTTGTCCGTCCTCCATTGCAGCGCGCCAGGGAAGGTGTGGCTGTGGTCGTAGATCTGGAAGGTTCGCGTGGTGGGAGGGAGGGGTATAAGGGCATTAGGAAGCGGGGGGGGGGAGGAGGGGCTTTGTAAAGGGGTGTCTGGGTAAAGTGTATCTGCCAGCTGGGGCTTAAGGGTAAGCTGAATAAAAGTTAGCGTGCTTACAAGCTTGATAGATCGTGGGGGTTACGGAAAGGATAGGCCACTCCATACCTGGGGGTAATGCTGGCGATGCTGACGGGGCCGCTGGATGTGCCTGTCCTGATGCTGAGATAAAAGTCACTCTATGCCTTAAGGCAGATGCTGAGTTGTGATTTAAATGGAATGTGTGATGTCTTAGGTTGGGCGTTCGCCTCAGTAGTTCCGGTGGCATCAGGGCTTTTCCGGCCAAACTCTTCCGATGGCAATGATGGCGTAACGGGTTTGAACTATGATGACACAGCTTTTATTCCTTTCCGTCCTGCATGGCTTAGGAAAAGAGTGACTTGCGGTTTACGGCTGCTTGCACGACAAAAGTTTTGTAGGCCAAAGGTCGTCTTGTATGTGACTCTTGCTGGCCATCATGTCAGGCATATATATTATTATAGACTACCTTTGTTCTTAAAGGAAGCTATCGGGCAACAGCAGACCTGGCGCAGCCCCAGTAACCGCAGGGTCCATCCTTTCAATATTTTGATGCGTGATTATAGCTAACACCATAATGATGAATGATATGCTGACCTTCCAGCTTGTGAGCTAGCGGAGCGCCGTCCAGCTTCGGACTGCCATGTCCAGCGAATCCGACGAGTGGGTGCAGCGGCTCTGCAAGCAAACCCAGTTCGTTTTCTAGCCCCATGCTTCCCATGGAACGCTCTGGTGGCTTAGCTTACATTTGACGGGGCTTGGTAAACTGTCTAACAACAGAAAACCGAATGGGCTTCTCCTGCTTTCCTTGCAGGGAAAGAGACCTGCTAAAAGCTGCTCTTGGATACAACTATGTGGATTCTGTCATAAGCAGCAGGTCATCGAGCGATCCGGAGAAGGACTGGGTCCGGGGTCTCGCGGAACGCGCGACGGACCCCGAGATAAAGGAGCGCAAGAAGAAAGGACCATTTGTGGTAGGATATTGCAGTTCTTGCATCCAAGGAATTCCAAACCTAGGTCAAGCCTTGCCCACCGACAAAGTCACGCGAATCGCGAATATTTTCGAACGCGATACTGCGGCAATTTCTGCTGCACAAGCCCAACTGACTAATCGAGGCTGAACCTTTCCTGCCACACAACCTGATCGCGCGTTGCAGTACGTCAAGCAGGCGGGCAAGCCAGGGCGGCATTTCTACGTGAACGAAGAAATCAATCAGATGAAGGCGGAGCGCGACTACATGAAAATTAAAGAGCTCCTCCGCCGTAAGTGCCCCTGATTACCTCGCCAACGCCAAGGCCATCGCCATTCCCCACAGCTGCCAGTGATTTACGTCCATTCTTAGCCCATCGGAATGCGATTGTTGTAGTGGACCCCGATTGGACACCACACACCCAATCACCTGGGACGATCTTTAATAACAGGGACGTATTTCGAAAGGATCAACCCACCAACGATACATCCCGCAACCACGCACCAACTGCTATGGCAAGCGCCGCAACAAGCCGCTCCTGGCTTCCCCAACAAACAGGGCATCTTTATTTATGTCGCGCCTTTTCTTAGCAAAAAAAATTAAATTGCCAGCACATGTCGGGTCACCGAGCACTGCTTTTGAAGATCCCGACGGTTAAAAAGGGAAATTGCGATCCGCTGGACTCCTGGCCCTGTGCCTCCACCGCAACACCTTCGTGCTGCGCCGCACGCGCTTTTTCTTTCCGGCGCACGCGAGCATTTGGATAGCCCATGCGCAGGTCCCAAATAAATATCGATTGGATTTGCCTTCCCTCCATCGAGCAGGCCTCCCGTTACCTTCAAGCGGATTGCTTGAGAAAAAAAACGACTTGTCGGTGCATGGCCGCTCTTAAAATCTCTCTCTCCCTGCCCCTTCTCCAATAGAATGCGATCATGTGTCGTCTTCAACACAACCTTCACACACTCCCTACACGCTGTTCCGCACCGACAGGCCATAATTTTAAGATCCTGGGTCACGTCAACATCGGCACGGACCCGTAAGTGCCAAGCGAATGAATAAGTGAACGAGTGTGCAGCGTTCCTTTCCGTCCGAATATAATTTGGCTGGATTATGATATCACCCCAAAGGCCGCTCCATGAATGTATGTGCACGGGGACTGTGGGACCCCCCACGCCCCTCTCCTCCCGCTAGGGGAGAGTGCTTTGGCGGTAACCGTTACCGTTGGGGTACGGTCATGTGCCCCTGGCCAGCGTCAGGCCCCCCGATCAATGTGTAGCAGAATACATACATACGCACACACACACACCGCCTCACAAGCGCACACACACACAACCACACACAACCACCTCACACGATCTGAATGGACTCTTTAACCCCCCTCAGGGTCAATGGCAGCATTTTTTCCATACCTCTGGATTTCGCTGCGGATGGGGCTAATATTATGTTCTGATCTGAAGGAATCACTGACGCTATCCAAGATGCCGCGGTTCCTGTTGCTGCTGTTGCTGCTGCTGCTGCGGCGGCGGCGCTTTGAAAATGGCTGCGAATCCCTCATCGAATGCATGTACGTCCTCTCTCAACCCCCCGTGTACAGGACCTCTCAACCCCTGGTCTACAACTTTGGCGGGGACCTCCTGGAGGAGGGCCGCCGCTTCCCGCGCAGCGTCCTCGCGAGCCAGGCCGACGCCGCGAGCTTCGTCTCCTTCCAAGACGACGATAACTACACGTCTTCGGAGCCAGCGCCCGTGGTTCCGGCGGCGCCGACTTTGGTTCCGGAGCGTCCGGCAAGCCGGCGCGGCGCAAGGGGGGAGCATGGAGGGCGGGAGGCGCGTGGGCCGACTCGCCATCGCGGGAGGAGGATGAGGTCTGGGCGTGTGTCGATCAGCGGCAGTGGCAGCCCGGGCCGAAGTAGCAGCAGCAGCAGCCGAGGCCGTACACGTACGGCAAGTTCCGAGAGCAACCGTAGCAGCAGCAGTAATGGACGGGGCGATAGCGTGGCGGGGCACAGGCGAAGGGGAAAGGACAGGCGGGCTTGGGGGGGATCGCCGGGGGGTAGTCCTGACGGCGGAGACCGCCGTCACCACCGCCACCACGACCACCGTCACGGCCATGACCACCGCCGCCGCCACCACAGCCGGTATCGGCGTGAGGAGGCGGCGACGGCGACGGAGGAGACGGCATCCGGCGGCACACTGCAAAGCGGCGACGGCGCTAGCTTGACGCCGCCGCCGTCGCCGCCACCGCTGCTGCGCAGCGCTTTACGGCACCGCCGCCGGGAGCGTCCTTCCTCGGAGCGTGGCCGCCACCGCAGCCCCAGCCGTCACCGGCGGCACGGAGGCGGCGGCGATAGCGGCGGTGAGCGGGAGCGCCGCCGTCGTGCTGGGGAGGACCCGAGCCGTCAACGCCACCACCACCGCCCGCAGGTTTCGGAGCGGGGCCACAGCCGTCACCGCGGCGGCAGCCGGCGCCGCGATCCCCACCGCCACTCAGAGCGCCAAGAAGCGTCACCGGAGGCTGTAGCACATCGCCGCGCTAAGAGCAGTAGCAGGCGGCGGGGTGCAAGCAGGTGCGTCCCGGGGTGGGTTGGCGACCGGTAAAAACGGGCGGTGTATGTGTATGTGTATGTGTATGTATGTGTGTGTCACATGAAAGGCGTTTGGACGATACCACTTATGGGGCATGCACATATATATCAAGCGCGAAGCGGATGGAGGCTCAGTGTGTGAATGGAGGTTCGGTCCACTGCGGCTGTGGCAAGGGAGGGAACGTGTGCATGTTGCGTACCCATCGGCCGAGGGCCGGAAGCTGGAGGCGTTTGAGGGGAGCTGGTTCGTCCATGTGGCTGTTACTGGGGGAGGCGTTTGTGGGGAGGGATGATGCGGGAGAGGCGGCAGCGCAGCTGTTGTGGGAAGGAAGGACGCTTCACCTTACACTGCTGCTTACCTACCGGCCCGCATAGGGCCCCGCTGATGATGATGATGATGATGCTGTTACCACTTAAAAAACCACCCGCATGTGCTACCGGCTGACAGGCATCATCGCAGCGCCTCTGCTGAGCGAGGCCACGAGCACAAGTACGACAGCCGGTCGCGATCTCGCCGCCGACACCGCCACGACCGCCATCCGCACCGCGAGCGTGCACGTGAGGGCGCTGAGGGGCAGGTTTCGGAGCGCCGCCGCCGCGGCCACCGCACTCACTCCCGCAGTAGTCCAGTTCACGACCAAGATCAAGACCACCGCCGACGCCACGAGTACGACAGCCGCCGCGACCGCCACCGGGATTATGAACGGTACGACAGCCCGGAGCACCGCCGCCGGCAGCACCACCGCAGCCGCAGCCGGCGGCGGCACCACCACAACCATCACCACCATGACGAGCAAGGGGAGCGGCAACGGGACGATCGCCAACTCGAACGGGTACATCGTAGTCGTGAACGGGCACACCGCAGCCGGGAGCGGGAGCACCGGAGCCGTGAACGGGCGTTACGGAGTCGTGAACGGGAGCTCCGAAGCCGGGAGCGGGAGGCGAAACTGGCCCGTTGGCAGCGACGGGAAGACGAGCGAGACCGCCGTCGGGAGGGGGAGCGGCGGCGTGGAGGGTCGACGTCGCCAGAACGGGGCGGCGGCAGCCGCCACCACCACCGTCGCCATCGCCACAGCAGCAAGAACGGGTCGGGAGCGGTTGCGGAGGAGGCGGCTCAGTCGCCGCCGCCGCCGCCATCATCGCTTGGTGGAAAGGAGCGGTTGCGCACGAAGACTGGTAACTTAAAGGCCAAGAAGGTGACTCAGCGTGGGGAGGGTTTCGTCCTGCCAGATACGACAGACGAGGACGAGCTGGCCGTCAGCTT